TTACATTTCAAATAAAATTGTCACTCTCTCTTTCCTTTAAAAAAACTACTAAGCACCCATACATAGTATCTTTCTGATGAAAAATGAACGAATATGCACAACTTTGTGAAACCGGTGAAAATCGGTCGGTCCAACTCACTCACCGGTCCGATACGGCACCGGCCCGGTTATAACTCTGAGCTGCATGGCCCAAGGACCACAATATTAAGTACAACGCAAAGTTTACAAAAGTCGAGCTGCTGGAGGCTGCTTCCTCAAATGTATCTCCTAAGCGCTACAAAACCAACGCGGCGGCAATGGCCTTTAACGCTGAATTGATGCGCCTACCGATAAAGCACTGCATCCTCAATCCAATCGAATTGGCGCGGTCTCAGCTCAAAGATTATGTCCGCTCCAACAATACGTTCTTCCGTCTGAATGACATTCACTCTCTTTCGGAAGAGTACATTGCTGCACTTGACAGCGAAACTGCTTGCCGCTCCATTGACCACTCTTGAACGGCGGAAGAAAAGTTCCGCGCCGCCGATGCCTTTCTGGAAGAGACAATAGAACCAGAACTTGTCGAAGACGATGACGAAGATCTGAATCCTGATCCGGATTCCACTGACTCATCAGACAAAAACTACGATATTGATACCCGAACTTCCTGTTTGTTCATCGTTAACTAGCTTGTGGAAATACTTTCAATAAACTACGCTTATTATACAACGCTATATAATCGATGCTGGTGGTCATAGATCGTCTCACACAGGATAGTAGGAAAATACAAATCCAGCAATTGATAAAGCCAAGCTTAAATTGATGGCTTTCAATCAGACTAGCATAAAAGGAACCCTGCTACGATGATCGGCGTGTCCTAAAACCTATATATCGATGCGTAATGTCTGTTTTCCTGAGAATTTCTTTTTTAATTAGCTGAAAAATGCGTTTTGGTGGGTTTTGTACATTGGGTCTAGCGCTCGTTTGCAAGGTCAGAAAAATGCGGGGGCTATGTAAAAATGTACAAAACTCTTTGGGCTATCGAAAGAATACCGCAAAATCGAAATTCCATCAAACCTTCTATCTTTGCGCACCTGATTTTCCAGAGATCCTTCTAGAAAACCTTGCAAAATCCTATCAAAAAAATGTTTTTTTCATGTATATCTATGTCGCAAGGACTTGGCTACACGATGGTGAAAACCACAGATCCGCAGCTATTGAAGCCTCGGAGTTATTCAACTCACAGTCGCACACATTCTATTTTGAAAACGACAGTAGTTCAAACTTTCAAAAGATAGTTTATTCTATCTGCTGAATCTGATTCTGTATCTAAATTTAGTAAAAAACGTTCTCCTACTTGTATTGATTTCTAGGAAACCTGTTAAAAGATTCCAGTAATTTTTATTAATTTTTAAAACTTTTATCGAGTCTCAGCATATAGTGTGGATAATTAAAGTATATAGCTAATTACAAAGAAAAAGCCAATATATGTGCGCTATTAATAATTCTCTCCACATCTTTTAATATGAACAAATTTTGACTATCAGTGTTAATATACATACTTACTATAAAAATTGAGACAAGAATATATGAAAAAAAACAATAACAACAAAAATCGTTTTTTAGCTACCCACTTCCAGGAAGAACAAAATTAAAATGACAATCAACAAAGAATCAATATTCTTATTCTCCACAACCATCAGCTACATCTCCTCCTGTATTGCCTGCCGTCATATCTTGCAGAGCTTTTGTTAATTTTTTTCGTAATAATTTAGCGTTACTTCCATGACATCCCGATATGAACGTATCATCACCACTGTCATTTGAATCGGATGAGTCAGACTCATAATGATCGATACTCGGTAGATATCCAGCTCGAATTAACAAACGTGGCACACGGCCAGCTTGTACTAATTTGAATGACTCTTCTCCACCGTCGTGTGTACCGTTTGGCGGTGACGATGATTTATTATTGTCATCATCATCTTCTTCATCCGAGTCATCACTTCCATTGCCACCTAAATTATTCCCACCGCATGGAGACTTTTCTTGTCCATTGTTCTCATTTTGATTTTCTGTTGTTTGGTTTTCATCCGAGGAATGTGATATCGATGTAGATTTTGGAGGTTCGGTTGACTGTTTACTGATTGCACTGGATTGATCTAATACTGATTTTTTCTTTGGACTTATTTTTTCAGAATCATCAGGATATGGACGTTTTTTACTCGAAGAATCGATTGTAGATGTAGATGATGATGGAGTTTCTGTTGGACTAAAAGTAAGGATAAAAGCGTAATTTATATTGAGTTTCCCATTTTGGTTTTATATTTCTTACTTTTTTCGCTTAACTATACCGGCTAGCAATTGTTTTTGTGCCGATTTATGTACTACTGTTGAAGTATTCAGAATTGGTTTTGATATAATTGACGGTGTTGAATCTCGCTTTTTTAAAGCTTCCTCTTGCGCTTTGTACAAATAATTGTAGTTAAGAAAAATGGAGTTAAGCTTGTTAACTCAAGCGACAGACAAACAGCAAAAAGGATATCTTAAATTCATCAATTTCTTGTTGTTCAAGACGTCTTACTTCTCGATCTTTTTCCGCTTTCATATGATCGATACGAGCTAAAAACGACGTTTCATCTTCATCTAAGCCACGAAAAGAATTTTCTAAATATACAAAAACTTAATAATAAATGAAAAAAACTTCAATATTCTTACTTGCAGCCCACATGTCTTCATATTCTTTCTTCTTAGTATCATTTTGTTCTTTCAATTTGTCGTACAATGATCGATTATCAAAAACTTCAGCTGGCGCTTCTGAAATACCAATAGAAAAAATTAAAAAAACGAATTTTTATAGTCTCCAAGAGAAACATAAACTGATTTCCATTGAAAACATCAAACAAATATCTCTCTTCTTCAACTTTTGTGTATTTAAATTATACTTCTGTACTTTTATACTTACCAACAGGATCTGTTGCTGATCTTACTCTTGCCCAATCTTCTTGTCGTCGTTGTCGTTCTAATTCAACTTGTTCTTCGGTTAAAAATTTTTTTACTTTGATTTCGCTCATTTTCCTTAATTATAATCAAACAGACATCTAAAATAAACAAGAATTTATTAAAACCTTCACCCTTGCAAAAATAACGACCTGATTCTTAATCAACGAAAAGAAATGCACAAATCACTAGTATAGTAAAAACCATATTTCCATTGGGAAAAATACTCAGTTTAAGTTGAGTACACATTTTAGTCTTACGTATTTCGTCTTTTCTAGACTGTTGCTAGACAAACAGAAAGGAGAGGATAGCTATGTTTATACTTCAATCATATTTTTTTCTTTGTGGTTCTCGGCAAATGACAGAACGTGTATCACTTGATAAAAAATTGTTCCTAACTACCCCTTGTTTTCCTGATTAAATAGACAAATAGAATAACTAAGTACAACTAGAATATAATCATGTGCATCGTTTTTCAAATAGTTTCCGTTCTTTAGTTCCGGTTAAGAAATTCAGGATGTAGGGTGAAGCATGGTTATAGACTGAGCCTTTTTTAGGTAATGCTCCTGAATGCTTAAAATTCTAAACATCATAAAGTGCAGGAAGACAATTATTGAACAAAGGAAATTTTTCAACGTTGAGAATTTTTCTTTTACACCAATCAAAGCGTAAAGAAATTGAATCTAAGTGATACTTCTGCGAGACCATTTTTCATAACATCCTTTCCAAAATCAAATTTGTAGTAAGTTACTATAGACGTTGACCCGTAAATACTATTCGAAAAATAGTATGAGAAAGTCGCAGAGATTTTTGAATTGGTTTTAAAAAGATTTTTTGCGTCATTCTTTTAAAATTAAACCCAATCTGACGTTTTTTCCAATCAAATGGTTAAAACATCATGTTAACTTCGTTTTAAACCATCAGGTTAGCACGTTTAAAGCGTGCAGTATTTTTTATACTGTAGACGCAATATAGTTAGCTAAGCACAACTATTCTGTTCTTCCAGTAACTAAACGTTTCTGTAAATTCATCCGGAAATTACCGATCAAGAATTCGATCCAGTTATGTAATGATTATGTTGAATTAATCGGGATCGTGTCGCAGATGTGTTTTCAAAAGATAGTTTAAATCAATTTATTGACCAACACCACTGGAGACACCTGAATACATATATAATATTCAAAAGTGGCGACATCTTTTGCTATCAAATTGAATTTTTTGTTGAACAGTCTCATGAAGATTAAAGATTCAAACTCTTTAATTTAATATACAACAAATTTGTCATAGTTATGGTAGCCTTCCATTATCATAAGTCAAAAGATCAACGAACGCAAGCTCATGGTAGTTTGTTTATTCGGTCTTTCGTTCTTTTTATGTCTTTTCAAAAGCAAACGTCAGAAGTAAATAAATCAATGTAGAGTCCAAAAATTGCATTGATTATGAAGTTTTACTCCTGACTTTTCTCGATCCTTCCGCTCACCTTCATTCAGAGTCAAACCAAATCAAAAAAAGTTAGTTCCACACTTAAGAAGATTTTAATCCTATTACTCTGAAGGAATAGTGAAGTTCGTATCAATTGTGTTGAATAACAGAATTTAAGTGATTTGTTTCGTACAACTTCAAGGTTTCGTTATATTCCTCAAGTAGGACATGAAATATTTTTAAGCGTTGGTTCATTTCGAGTATTCTATGTGCTTTAGATAATTCTTTTCTTATTGCTTCCACTTTTTCCCTCATCGTCACGATGTCAGCAACAACAAGTCCGGCTACAGAATTGTTATATTGTTATAATCGTGGTTGTCAAAAAAAATTCGATCCAACTGATAATAGTTCCGAAGCCTGTTTACATCATCCTGGTTTACCAAAATTTCATGATGCCTATAAAATATGGTCGTGTTGTCAGAAAAAATCAACCGATTTTTCTACATTTTTAAGTTTATCCGGTTGTACACGATCGCAACATAATCCCGTGAAACCTGTCGAACCTGAAAAACCTCAGCAAAGTCGGGATGACGAAGACGAACAAAGCACTCCTGTACCCATAGTTCAGCAACAAACTATACCAAAACCATTGTCAAATGAAGCACCTGAAAGACCTCCCACAGATGAACCATTGATTGAATTAACGCCAAAAATTAGTACAAGTTTGCAACAAGCTCTCAGTAAATTAGATCTAGCAGATAAATCAGTAACAACAACAAATGGAGCTGGTGCTCAAGAAAACACAGATGAAGTAGCCATAGGAACACATTGTAAACATGCAGCGTGCCAAGAAATATATAAAGATAAAAATTCTGATACTGAAACTACTTGTCGGTATCATCCAGGTGTGGCGATATTTCATGAGGGTAAGAGAAGCTATTCATATTAGAGTTAGACTAGTTAACTGGACTTTTGTCATCTCTTCTAATCACTGATTCTGTCTCTCCTTTGGTCGTATAGGTATGAAATATTGGTCATGTTGTCAGAAGAAAACATGTGATTTTCAAGCATTTACTCTTCAAGTTGGGTGCACCATTGGTAAACATTTATGGAAAGTAGAACAAAATCTTGACGATCCTCAAGCACTTAAAACGTCATGTCGTTATGATTTTCATCAACAGGGCAATTTTATTGTTTTAACACTATATGCGAAAACACCGATTCCAGATAAAACTCATATTAAAATTAATCAGATTAAATTATCGGTAGAAACTCTGTTTGAAGGTGGTAAGAAAAAATTTCAAAACGAATGGGAACTGTACGCACGCATTAATCCAAAAGAATCCACTGTGGAATTATTAGGAACAAAAATTGAAATTATGTTAAAAAAAGGTGAACTATGTAGTTGGCCCAGATTAGATGTACTGCCCCCAACTCAAAAGAACAAATGAGTAAATTAGAGCATTGTTTTCTATTAGGAAATTTTTTTAAGATAAAGACTGTGTTATTGTAATTTTCGTTATTTATACAAAAAATCTTTTTTCTATTGTTTATTATCATTTGCATCTCGTTTTCTTTCCAGTAAAAAAGACATACAGTTACGACAAATCAAATATATTGTTTTGATTTGAAAAATATCTTTGTATACATGAAAAACAGCTAACTAACGTAATTAAGTTTGAAGGAACTTTTTGTCTCAGATACACGCTACATCATCTGACGTATTTTTTGACGTTGATCACAAAAATAAACTTTAAAATTCAAAAAAGTTGGATTGTACAGCTCGAAGCTTAAATATTTAATTCTCCATTTGTATTCCACAGAAGGTTTACGCACCAACATTTTCATTGAACTTTTTAGCACCTTTTTTTGTAGGCGAGCTTTATGCAAACCTAAAACGTTTTTACATGATTCAATTTCACATAAATTGTATAAAGAACACTTGATTGTATATGTGCACGTTTATATCAGAACTTGAATTGATTTCTTGAAGTTTGTAATTAAATTTAAACTACTGAAAAAAAGTTCAAAGAAACAGATGTTCCTCGGTTACCGTAATATTTAAATAATAACTCACTCATTTCTAAAGTTAACAAAATTATTTTTTTACTAGAAGATAACCCGAAGTCACTAAAAAAGAAAAAATTTATTATTATTATGAAATACTGTGAATAAATGTAAATAATGAAAATAATTTCATTTTTCTTTCCCAAGAGGATAAGATGTAAGACTAAACGAACAGACCTTAAATTTCATATATTAGAAAACTTATTGAGATACATATTTGCTGAAAATTTGGAGTCTTTATCGCCAATCGTTCTCGAGATACATCAGTTCGAAATTGGAAACTTACTGGGCGTTAACTACAATTTTCATGTGTATAATATACTTAAGGGTAACCCCCCTTTTTTGAAAAAAATTCGGATTGAGTTGAGCATGGTCTAATGTAGAGGAAAGTGTGGGCTACAAAATGAGACTACTCTCAGCACTCCATGACCCTTCTTCAAAAAGTTATGCATTTTTGAAGTTTTATCTTCAAAGAAAAACTCAATTTTTCATAAACAAAAATAAAGGTTTTACAAACTTTTCTCTCCTTTTCTGTACATTCAAAATTTTTCTTACACATAGTCTGATAGGAGAAAGTGTTTTCTTCACAATGAGACGTCTCCCAGAATTTTCTGATGAGTTTTTGTGAAGATATAAGCATCGAGGCTAATGCCCTGAAAAAAGTAGCCTATGTACAAAATGCGTTTTTTTTCTCGAAAACTATTTTTTACTACCGGGCTCCATTGCACCACATTACGACCCCGCTTAAATTTCATCCAATCGAGTTATAAATTTAACCAGAGGCACTCAAGGTTAACTTGGTTTTTGAGACGTTTTCCAGTATTTTTCCCATAACTCAACCAGGAAAGTTTTAAAAAACTTTCCAAAATTATATCTCTGCGCTATGACCTTGAGTACCTCTGGTAAAAGTTTTAACTCGATCGGATGAAATTTAAGGGGGATTGTGATATGGTCTAATGAAAAACCAAGTTTTTTGGAAAACTGGTGGACGGTAATAGTTAAAAACTTGAAACAAAAATGAAAAAGTACTCCATTGAGTTTTCAATCGGTTCTGAAAATATGAAGCCTTAGTGAGCTTTAGTTTTTATTTCACAGCATTTCTACGGAAAGCCCGAAATGAGGGGAGTAGTACCCTTAACTACGTAATGTTTACAGAATAACACATGACAACCAGTTTGAAGAAATACTGAAACATCACTCTGAAGTTTGTGCGAGTATGCCTGTAGATTCATTTCAACAGTGCCAAATATATTTTACTTAAAACGATCACAACTATATCATCTACGTTCTTCCAATGATCTGATACAAAAACATCGTTATCGTTTTCGTCCCAACAATGAAATTCATGTTTTTAAATTAAAGAATTTGAAGGATAGTAGTGGATATTTTTCCGGCACTGTCACTTTTTGACACGGTGACTAGATAGAACTGGGGTCACAAGCTTTTTGATAACTAGTCTACCCGTTTTTTCGCCTGCATGGGCATGGCAAACATCTTTCTATATGATAATATGATCTGTTTTAAGTGGTACTTCGAGTGTAAAGCTTCAGATAAGTAGACACCAAGCAGTTTATTTAGGATGTAACTCATATGGCAAGATGTCATTGTTGACACGAAATATGAGTGAGGGAAGAACTTCGTTTCCAACTGAAAAATACGTCTATGAGCACTTATCAACATTTAAGATCATATGGTTTCGCTCACGGCACTTAGCAATTCGATTAATCTCTGCTTGTACAAGACTTCGTAGGTCTTCAGTATCTTCTTCTTTATCTGACGAAATTACAGTGAACAAATCATCTGCAAACATGCAGTACAATACTGAGGAAAAGGCATGGAAATGAGGAGGGTCATTGACAAATATTAAGAACAAAGTAGACCGAGTATTGATCCTGGGGGTACGCCGGATGTTATACTTCTTGGCTTAGATAATGAATTACCAGTTTTACTTGTTTTTGGTTCTGATGAAACATATGATCTGAATCAGTTCAGTAGATTTCCAGAGATTCCAACAGACGACGGTTTTTGAAGTAATACGTGAAGGCTAACACGATCAAAAGATTTCACAAGATCAACACTTATGTCGATTCAATGAAGTTTACTTTGATATTTCTCATTAGCGTTCTCATATAATCGGTTAGTAACATGCAGAAGAACATCAATAGTGCTGGTAGCTGGACGAAATCCAAACTGACTGGTGTTCAACACGTCGTTTCTTAGAGAAACGAGAGCATTAGCTTATAATGAGTTTTTCAAAACTCACTTTCTCAGATTGTTGTTGTTATCATTTCTCTCTCTTTTCTCTGATGTGCGCATTAATCTAAGAATGTATCACAACGTAGTTAACAATGATTCATAACATTAAACTAAAATCATATATTTTTTAATGATAAAAAAAGATAAAGTATAGCTAAAACACAAAATCTGTTCGTTTTCACTTGCTCGAAAAGAACGACGGAAAGGTGTGCTTAATACAAAGTCTGTCATATAAGGTAAGTAAATATTCCTGAAGTACATTTTTCATAGCAGAAGTCAACTGCCAATTTTTTTCTGAACAGAGTATGATACACTTGTCGCCATTGTTTTACCGCTTAGGATGATTTTCTTTGGTTTTTACTGTCTTGACACGTTGTATTCTAACGTAGATGTATTTGTTTCTTTTTATCTACTGTTCTTCAAAAAATTCTATTATAAGTGTTGAGTTAAAGTATATTTATTGTACCTCTCGCTTTGTTTTGCATCACTAACGCCTTTCATCAACAATTCTTTTCGTTTCAGTCTTTTCGTAGCGACTTCGTTACTAATTCCACATTAGTCGATACGTCTATAATTTATTAGCAATTTATTATTATTGATTGAAATCAGTAATCGTACAAAAGTCAGGTTTTCTATCGGCGTTTTATGGACCTTTTACTTGTTTTGCTTTTGCTTTCTTATTCCTATCATCA